CCGGTAGGTTGCCGACTAGAACGCGTCCGAGAGCGCTGCCTGCAGTGATGCACATTCAGTTCCTGGGAACCCTGCATATCATTGTGTATACATACCTGAAGCAAGTCCTAGCCGAAACCGGAAAGTGGGTTGGCCATTATTATGCGTGGGGCTGACTGGACGGATGGACGCGCGAACGAGAGAGAAGGGAAACGTGCGTTCTGACGCGCGGAGCAAACACGAACAAAGCAAAGGCGCGCGACCTCGCGTCGCGTCGGCGTCAAGTCGGACTTCTTTCCCGAACGTCCATCATGTCGAGCGTGAGCCTCGGGAATGAGTAGCGTGCGCTACATATATACACTGCCTCTCAGTTGCTGGCTAGCGCGTCTGGAGTCTCAGCGATCCATTAGTTCTGTGTGCGACCCTCGCACCGTCCTCTGCCATGGGGCGTGTACAGGCGGTGCGCGCGCGGACGTGCGACAAGCGCCTACTTTCGATATCCTGTGCTGCCCCACGCGTCCATTATCCCCACGGGTGAATTGGGTCCTATATACATGATACGACAACCGCTTCTTCCACTGCCGCTCGCCCCGATCCATAGTGCGCTGGCTCTGGTCTCACCCGACGTCCTCTCCTCGGCGTTTGACACGCGCATCATAGCATGATGCGTCGAGGTATCGATAAACTTACGGGACCTATCAAGCATATCCGCACACGCGGCGAGAGGCCCGATCGCGCTTCTCATTTTGCGACTGCCGAACCTCGATCATCGGCGCCACCGTCTAGCAACTCGATACCGCCCAGGGAAGCATCAGGCGCAGAATCTGGCTCTACTTCAAACGGTCGACCTGTCGCGTCCGAGGACGTCAAGACCAATTCTGTGGTACAAGAGGATGCATTGGTCGACCTCTGGAACGACGCCCTTCTGAAATACAAAACGACCACCGCCATAGACCTAACCGACCCGACATCCCCCCTCTACCGCTCTCTAGCCAACTGCTTTTCCCACCACGCAATCCTCTCCGCCTTGAACGGACTAATAAACAAGTTCACGGCCTACCGCGATCCATCACCCAATAGCTCCGGTACTAGGATAAGAGCCGCACTTGGCCGCGTTGTTCGTGCTGTGCTGCGTGCTGGTGTGATTGATGTGGGTGGGGAGACTGCTGCTGCGTTGGTGCGTTTACTGTACTCAGAGACTCGATGATCAACGACTGATGCATCACACAGGCCATACCAGGCGGAAAGGCCATCTTCGTAGCTCTAGGCGCCCTCCTCCAGGCATGTCTACTCTCTCTCCAAATCAAGCTCCACCATACAATACTGAGTCGCCAACACAGGCCACCGAAGGCGTCACCGACCGCTTCGACGCCGTTCTCCTTCTCCTCCACAACCTCGAATCATACATGGTCCGACTGGACGTCCGCCTGAACGCCCCTCTCGTTCCAGCGGCCCGCGAACATACCGTTAAGATTCTCGTGGAGATGTTGGACACTTTTGCTATGGCTACGCGGATGATGCGAAGGAATCGAGCCAGTACGTCTATCATGCGCCTGGTAGGTTCATGCGGCTGAAAGCTGAAAGGGTTTTCGAATAGGGCATTTCATGACGGTGCTTACGGGCGGAGGTCAAGACGTCAAAGCTGCAATCGGACGCTTCGAAGGTCTCATGGTAGAAGATACCCGTCTAAGTCTCGCCGAAGTTCACATAGGGATCCAAACTCTTTCGACATCCTTACAGACCGGTATGACGCCCATGGTATCGCGACTTGCTATCGGCGAATTGACAAGTGTTTCGTGTTCTACAGGGTTTGATGAGGTGAAGACCGAGGTCGCACAGCATCTCGAGGTCGCAACGTCGGACATAGTGACGCGGGTGACTGCGCGGCTACAAGCATGTCGATTATAGTTCTTAGCTACAGGTATTGCTCATACTGATGTACTTGTTCACAGCCGGGATCTTCGAGTTGGCACATCGATTCGAAGCTTTCAGCGCAAGCTGGGACGAATGGAAGCTTCAAATGGCCAGGAAGAGCCTCGGTGCGTGCCGGACCACCTTCATCATCGTAAACTTCGCGCTCATGCTCTTCCAGATGATGATGATGATATGCGCCCTCGAACTCGGATGATCTCGCTGGACGAAGAGAAAGCAGGTTCGTGCGCGCTGTTCTCTTCGAATGTCCCATGCGTCAGAGATTGACCGCCCGTGCATGGGTCATAGGTTTCGTCAGCGTCTCGCAGTCACGTATACTTGTACCAGCCAAACTCTTCACGGGCCCGACAGTGCTGCGAGCCTCCGTGAGCAACATGCTAGCTCTTTTCCAAGACTTGACGCCAGCCGATCAAGCCTCCTTGCGAGAGGCGATCGCCGTAATCTACTCCTTGGCCGCCTCTGTCGCCGGAAGCAACTCCGACACTGCATGGTGCGCGGCGGTGTACAATCCCGGCATGTTCATATCCGCCTTCCTTCCTCTGGCGGTGGCATATGTCGCCCTCTTCCTCTGTTGGCGACATATGCGTATATCGAGCTCGCCGGGTATCACGCGGGCCCTTCAGGACTGTGACCCGTACCGCGATACACTTGTGATTATCGATGTTCTTGGGCTTCATATGGTTCTACCTATAGGACGGTGTTCATCGTGGGCGGTGAGCACTCCAGTACAAGACGATGTAGTGATACGTCATCATTGATTGACGCCCATAGGACGTCCACGCCCTCCTCCTCGGGCGCTTCGCGAACAAAGACGGGTCAAGCTACGTGAAATCCCGTTCATACGTTCTCATGAACGCCGCTGGGCACCCCGAGTCCGAGATCGTCTCCCCATCTTCTTGGACGCAAACCATCAGAGCTGGTATGACGCTCGAAATGAGCATCGTGGTCCGGCAAGCGTTCGACTCGGTTCGTTGTCCTTGGTGCGAGGTCGTTGCTCCGGAAGGGGAGGTTGATAGTTTATTACAATGGTATGTTGTTTCTTTTAAGATGCGCAGTGGTCATAGGCTGATGATGCTGAGAAGTAGGGGGTGCAGACGCTTTTTCAGGGCTTCCAGTACAAGCTTGGTCCCCGCAGACGAACATGTTGATCAGAGGTTCGTCTTTCTATCATCTATACGCAACGCCGATCTCAATCTCATCTCACTCGCAGTGCCGTCGGCAACACAGGATCTCACATCGAGCGCGATCCGGATCGTACCGGTGCAGTTACCGTGGATCCCCATCTCCGGCACGATCAAGCTGACAACAACGCGAACCAAGCCGGTGCCACCAAAGAGCAACTCTCGCTATTCCGAAGGATCATCGTCGAACTGATGCACGAGCGCGAGCGAGCACCGCTCAACGAAGGACAAACGTTCCCAGCCGGCCAGCTTGCTCCGAAGGAGCACTCCAGCACGCCTGGCAGTGCGTCCGATCCCGGCGCAAGCACGCTCCCTTTTTGGGACGACGAAGAGCTGAGTGATACAGAACCGTACGACATGGACGTGTTGCAGGCTGCTATGGATGAGTGGGACATATTTGCCGCTACCGTCAAGTTGAGCGAGGTGGAGGGGGAGACGCCGTATGAGAGGATGGGTCGATTCAAAGAGGAAGTTAAGCTCGCTATGAAGCGGGGTGCCAGTCACTAGTGGCTACTATCGGTGTGGCCAAATTCGACTTGTTTGGCTGCGTTCACTTTCGTGAGAGCACTCGAGAGACGTGTTGCGCGAATTTGTAAGATGAAGTCTCGGGTGGTAGTACGCATGTACATACAATTGTCATTGTCAATGGTAGGAGAGGTTATGGTACATGATGATGCAGTGGCGAGTCTGAGGGTGCTGTATTCTACATATAACCTAAGTACCACGAACTGATGTCCGAGAATACAGTGCAGGAACGTGAAGTATATGCGTGACAAAGCGAGAAGTGGGAAGCGGGTAGCGTGTGGGGTAGAAACTCAGTCCGCGACCTGCTCTTCCTCGTTAAGATTCCTCGCAGGTCTGAGCCCAACCGGCCCGCTTTGGGTCTCCACCGCCTCGCGCTGGCCGACATTCTTGACTTTCTATTCGCGCAGTGGGATTCGTATCCGGCTTTCCAGGCATCAAAGGCTTCGGGAGTTATAGAGGTTCGGCGTCGATGAAAAGCCAGGTCGGAGTCGAGGTGTTGACCTTTTCGGGTGCGGAGGTGAAGCTGGAGGTAGGTTGCGGGGGGAAGGATAAGGATGCAGGGAGGACCGGCTCTTGCGGGAAGTTGCCGATTGAGATGGCCTCCGAGAGCGCCGACCGCATCACACCAGTCTCGAATCCAGACGTCTCAGCCCGTTGTGAACCTACGCAAGCAGGGACACGAGCAAGACGTCTGGTGCTTCTTAGCCGCCAGCTCACCCATAGGGTTACGCGTGACATCGCCCGTCAACGTCCTGCCCTAGTCTGCAGATGCAGACCATGCACGGAAGACAAGCGACGGGAGGGATGAGGTCAGTTCGGACGGGACGTCTTCCCAAGGTGACGAGCTCGGCGACTTTTTGTGGTCGTTTGAGGTCAAACCGGGGAGAATGCGCTGTTACCTTCGTCAAAAAAAAAACTCTCGCAAATGGTAGAGAAGTAAGACGTACCGCAAGCTCCTCCTCGGCCCTCTTCCCACCCTTCTCCCCACCCATCAATTCCCGCCCGTCAACCGGACTCGTACTGTCCCTCCCAGTCCTACCACTCGCCAACAACCGCTCCCACCCCTCGTTACCCGTACTGGCACCCGTCGGCGGGTCCGCGATAGCCTCTTTGACCTCATTGACATCCTTCACATTCTTGCGAGACTCCTCCACGCGAATCTTGGCCCAGCTCGCACGCTTATTCTCGCCGCCTCGCGCTATTCAGCGTTCCATTTCGCGAGGTGCGATTCGAGCTTGAGTTTGAATGCTTCAAGGGCTTCGGGCGTTAGAGGTTCGGCGTCGACGTCGGGTCGAGTTGAGGTTGATTAGGTGTCGAGGAAGGGCGTGTCAGACGATGAGGAGAAGTCGGAGGGGGAAGAAGGGGAGGAAGCGGGGAGGACCGGCTCGTGCGGGAGGTTGCCGACTGAGAACGTGTCTGAGAGCGCGGCCTGTGAGCATGCACATATTCACTTCTTTGCTTCACGTATTATTCTATGCGCGCACGTACCTGGAGCAAGTCTTCGCCGTTGCCTGAGAGTGGGCTGGCCATCATACAACTGTATGAGCGTAGCTGAAGAAGGGAGAGAGGAAAGGAGGGGCGTAGTTCTGGTACGGAGCAAACACGAACAAAGCAAAGGCGCGAGACCCGCGCGACCTCGTGTCGCGTCGGCACGTCGAAGTTGGACTTCTTTTCCCGAACGTCCATCATCTCGGGCGCGGCGTCGAAGCAGTCGAATAAAACGCAGTAATGGCTACGGTCCGAACCTGGAATGTACAACCGATGAGCAAGGTGCAAGGCGGGTCGCTCACGCCGAACGAGAGCGCGAGAGCGGCGAACCTCAATGGCATATAGTCATTTTCCGTACATGATACACTCAGCCTATCGCCCGCAGTTCCGGCTGCGGCACTCAAGACGCTTGCGTGCATTGCTGCTTACGCGAGAAGGTATGCCATCGTTCTATCGTATACAGTGCACAACTTGCTCATGCCTTGCCATTAGCGCCACTCCACGCGGCTCGCGCAGCGCAGAACTGTTTGCCATCCACGCGCTATGAAGGATAACATGCCACGAGCGTATGCGGCCCTCCCCGGTTGCCAGCCATTCTTCGTCTATCGGCCAGTTCGTTGTACGCGGACGCTCTCGCTCTACTTCCTTTCTGTGTTGCTAATTTTCCTCTTTCAGCACGGCTATCGCCGCGCTCAACAGCGAAGAAGGCTGCCATTCTCTTGTTCGAATCATAAACGCCCATGCCCCATGATCACACTCCCTTTTTCCAGCCCAGCATCAAAGCTTGATACCATCATCGAGAAGTGTGCCCGCGCCCATTGATGGACTGCCACTCCGTACTTGCTTACCTGTCGGTTTTATCTAACTGTTCTCAATCCTGTTACAGGCAATCTCCGTGCATTCAAACCATATTCCTCATACGCGATACAAATGATGTCCAGAGCACAATCTGCTGCCAGACAGTACAAGTTCTGCTCAGAATCCGAGCGATGCGACGTTACATACATTTCACTCATCCAGGCCTTCTCCCCGGCATCGATGCCAAACCTTCCCATACGGAGCACTTACGCGTGATGTCCGCTCACACACCCACCAATCATACACACCTCAATCTAACTCAGCTACTAGGCCAAGCTGAGCTGCGAAGTCCTCGAGAATGGCGTGCCATGGCTCTCCGGGGCGCCACTCGGCATACCGACGTATGTCCTTCCTGAGCTTCCGTGCGGATGGCAGAACGTGAGGGGCGTCCTTCGCGCGATGCTCTAGAAGAATACGAACGGTGTTTAGGGCACTATTGGACCATAAGTACCTCGCCTGTGCGGCAGTGTGCACAGGAGTGTCTCCGTCTTTATCGGCATCGTCGACAACGGCTCCATGACTGAGCAATAGACGACAGATATCGGTGCGTCCATGTTGTGCGGCCGAATGTAACGGGGTCTTTCCGTCCTTATCTCGGGCCCGACATCGAGCGGCGGGATCTGGTCCGTCTGCTACACGGTGTTCTAGCAGCGTACTAATGACATCCGAGTTTCCGTACCGTGACGCGACGGCATCGTGCAAAGGAGAGCTTCCGTGTTCGTCTGTGTCGTCGACGAGGGCCCCCTGACTGAGCAACAGGCAACAAACACCGGTCATTCCCTGATATGCGGCCAGATGCAACGGGGTCTGCCCGCGCTTGTTCCGGGTCCGACACCGCGCGAGGGCATCTGCCCCATCAGCAACGGGGTGCTCAAGAAGCATGCGAACGACATCCATGCAACCTTTCCTTGCGGCAATGTGCAAAGGAGTGTTTCCGTCTTCGTCGGCGTCGTCGACGAGG